CTCCTTCAATGAATGTTTTGTCATGATTTAATGGAACTATTTTTGAATTGGCATCTGAAAGTATTATGCTATTATTCAGATCCTTAATTGACATAGATTTCTTTGATTGATCAATTTTCTCAGGTAATCTGATAGTGCTTTTTGGTAACCAAAAATACTGTTTAAAAGTAATATTCTGGACCATATCACTTTGCAACTGTGATCCAGTATTTAAAGTGGGTGTATTAAATGGCAAAAATCTTTTTCTTCTTTTGATGTTACCCTTTTAGTTTCTGTAAGTGCTAATGATGTTAGCAAGGTTGTTTGATGATCATATTCCTTCTTACTAATGTATTTAAAATTGCCATATCACCATAATCATTTATTAAGTTACAAGTACTTTGTTTAGGCAACTCTGACTGATAATGGACTGCATCTTCTCCATCTTTTATATTATCTTCACAAAGGGTTTTAATTTCTTATTTTATATGGCTTTTAGTCATCATTCACAGACTCTTCAGGCCAACCATTCTTACAGTACTCATATACTTTTATTAAGCACTCATCTTTTTGTGTTTCTCTTTTAATATCATTCACATTTATATTGGAGTTATCCATGATAGTGAAGAGAACAAATACATCTTCTGGTACATAGCTCAGGCTTTGGTTTTTTTAAAGGTAATCTACTAAGACTATCTGCACTATTCTCAGATCCAGGTTTGTATTTCAATTCATAATTGTATGCAGTTAGTGTGATAGCCCATCTTTGAATTCTTGGTGAGGCATGCTCAGGTAGGGTTTTGTTTTCTCCAAATAAACCTAGCAATGGTTTATGATCTGTAAAGATGGTGAACTTCCTACCAAACAGAAACTTATGAAATTTCTTAACACCAAAAATGATGCCTAAGCCTTCCCTATCTAACTGAGAATAATTTTTCTCAGCCTGGTTCAAAGATCTACTGGCAAAAGCAATGGGTCTGTCACCCTTCTCATCCATGTGGGACAAGACTGCTCCTACACCATCTGGTGAAGCATCACATGTTAATATAAGTCTTTTCCCTGGGTCATAGTGAGTTAGTAAGGTGTCAGCAGACAAAGCCTCTTTTGCTGTATTAAAAGCAGCTTCTTGTTGTTTACCCCAGTGCCAAGTTGCATTTTTTTGTAGCAGCTTGTACAGTGGTGATAGTTTACCAGACAGATTTCCTATGAACTTTGCATAGTAATTTATCAAGCCCAAAAAAGCTCTTAGTTGTTGGGTATTTTCAGGTTTGGGTGCTTCTTTAATGGCTTTTGTTTTCTCAGGTTGAGGTCTGATACCTTGTTTGCTCAATATATAACCAAGAAAACTAATTTCTGTCAACATGAATTGACATTTATCTTTGTTTATCTTTAAACCTTTTTCACCAACAATTTTTAATACTTTGTCTAGTGTTTTAAGATGTTCAGTGTCATTCTTACCAGTTATGTACACATTGTCAAAGTAAACACAAACATTTGGAATGTCCTTAAAAATACTGTCCATGACAGCTTGGAAAATTCCAGGGCTGGATGATATGCCAAAACATAGTCTTTCATATTGGTAGAGTCCTTTATGTGTGTTTATTGTCGTATAGACTTTTGAATCTGGATGCAGTTCTAGTTGAGTGTAAGCATGACTAAAGTCTAATTCAGTGAATTTGTCTCCTCCTGCCAAATTCAAAGAGATTTCCTCAATGTTAGGAATAGGGTACCTATTTAGCTCTATTTGCTTATTCAGTGTAGTTTTATAATCTCCACAAATTCTTATAGAACCATCCTTCTTTAACACTGGCACAATGGGTGTCGCCCAATCGGAATAGTCTACCTTCTTTATAATGCCATTAGATTCCAATCTACTTAGCTCATTTTCAATTTTATTCCTCATTGCATAAGGTGGAACTCTAGCTTTGCAGTATCTTGGATTTGTATCTTTAATGCTTAACTTCACTGTTCTATCATTTAGTAAACCTGAATTACCAAAAACACATTTATTTTCAGATATAACTTTATCTAGTGAAGTAAGACTAGATTCTTTTACATTCTTTAATGAACAAATACTCTCCCAATTTAACTTAAGATCACTTAACCAGTTCCTACCTAGTAATGGCGGTCCATTTCCTTCAACCACAAGAAGAGGAAGTTTAACACTTTGACCATTATAACTTACATGAACCATACACTCTCCTATTACCGGAACATTGTCACCAGTGTATGTTGTTAAACACTTGTGACATGATTGTAGAGGCACTGATCCTCCTGTGACAGCGTCAAAATATTTCTTTGTTATGACTGTTAGAGATGCTCCAGTGTCAAGTTGGAAGCTGATGCTCTTACCGTTGATATTAACTGGTACATTGATGGGAGCATGACTTATTGATTTCACAGAGAACAGGTTGAAATCCGGCTGCAAATCAGTTTGAGCATTTTCACTGGTAGAGTGGTTCATTGGTTGGGTTAGGTAGTCTTGGTGAGAGTTAACATAGTGCTGCCTTTGGTTGCGGTACTGTCTTGACTGGCTAGATTTAGCAACAGACGAAGACTTTGCAAAGCAGGCCTTGGCAATGTGACCTTGCTTACTGCACTTATAACAAGTTGCAGACTTGAACTTGCACCGATGAGATGCATGGGGACCCTTGCATCGATGACATTTTTGATGATTATTACTAGATTTAGATCTAGGATTTGAACGAGCAGGCTGTTTAGCATAAGTTGGAATGCTCTGATGGGGTTGATGTTTATTGACTAACCTGCTGTTTACTGCATGGATCTCTGAAGGTGCTAAAGATCTCGCCGCATCTGATGACTGCTGGAATGAAGTTGCTAGTTGTATTGCTTTTTCTAATGTTAGATCTGACTCGAGCAGCAACTTTCTTTGAATATCAGGGCTGTTTACACCTGTCACAAACTTTTCACATAGTCTGTCAGACAGCGTTTCTCCAAATTCACAGAATCTACTTAAATGACGTAAAGCAGCAACATATTCTGATATTGACTCGTTTGGTTGACGAGTCCTACTGTCAAATCTAGCTCGACATAGAAACTTTGATGGGGTAGGCGCATGGTGGTCTGTTAGCAATTTGCTCAGCTCGTTAAAGCTCTTGGTAGTTAGACTAGCTGGTGTGCATAAGTCTTTTAGTAGCCTAAATTGTTGAGGCCCTATGACTGTTAACAAAACAGCTCTCTTTTTGGCTTCTATCGTCACGTTGTTTGCTTCTAGGTAAAAGCTTAACCTCTCTAGGTAATCTTGAATGATTTCATCATTCACATCAAATTCTTTTATTTGGCCATACAGCGCCATAATTCTAGAAATAATTAGCTAATAAGCTCTAGCAAACCTCTTTTTTGCGTAAGTAGGTGCTCTTTCTAGTAGATGTTTATCCTTCGTCGCCAGTTATAATAGATTGACGACAGAAGCCTGTGGTTGTATATAACACATTTAATGGGTCTAACTACATCACGATGGTAACACACAGAGAGGACGGAAGGAAGTACACAAGGGACATCACTCAAGATAACAATATTATAAATATAACTAATACAGAAGAGTGAGTTCCCTTGACCTCACAATTATTTCAATCTATTACACTAGGTCAAACCAAAATTAATTAGTTAAAAATAAAAACCAGTATAAAATCACAATACATTATTGATTTGTATTTTCTTTTATAAAACTTTGTTACTTCTTAAATATTTAATATAAATTATTGCTCTTTAGCTTCAATGATCATCTAATTCGAGAATACATAGGATTTATGATTTATCTATTTAGTTTCTAGATTAGATCTAGATCTAGCTAGAGCTACGAAAAAAAATCGACTTAACGTAACTTATAAAACTAGACTTAACGTAAATTCTACATCTAGAATCTAGATCTAGCTCTATCTAGATCTAGAATCTATATACTAAAATATTTCATGCCTTTTTTATTTTACATAAATCTTTGTTTGCTTAGCTATGAAATTGGCTGGTTTGGGATTTAATTTAATTTGAATTAATACGGCCTAGCTGAAATTTCTTACTTTACAGTATATTATATACTTAATTCAACACTTTATTGAAAGCGCTCACATAGCTAAGAAAATAGTTTAATAGTTACCATGCAGGTGATATAGTTCGAGACACATCACGACAAAGTAATTTTTTTTTAATTTTTAAGATGTGAATGATAACGTTGCCTATTGGAACTTTGCGGGTTACAGCGCAGGTGAAGTAGAGTTCACCTGTAGCTAAATTCTCAGCATATGAAGGTATAGTGTGGTCAGACCCATGCTCAATCAAAATCGGTGGTTTTTTTTTTAAAGACAAAAACATCTGTCTTTTTTAATCTGGCGTCGGTTGTTTTTTTGTGACGATAAGTGGCAGACGTGATTTTATTTTTGGATGAACCCCGAAATCCACAGTAATCCATAGGATGACGGGCGGTCTAGTTTCTATTATAATTCTGTTTTAGGGTAATTAGTTTACCTCGATAAAATGTCAGCCACTTTTGGTAGATGGCAAGCAAGGAATTATTAAAAAATATATAGTTTAGATAAGACCACGGTCCGTCTAGGCCAGTTCTCGGCAGTGCTATTTCCAGACTTTTTTCTCCAGGTGAGGCGGGGGAGCTTGATATTTTCGGGTGGTGGGGGGGGGGGGGGGGGGGGGCTGACAATATTTTCCAGGGATAAGTACTGGAAAAAGTATATTTTCTATATAAATTTCAGTTCGGAAGCGGTAGATAAAGAAATGCCTGGAAGAAACTCTGGGTTTCGGTCACTTTTAAGATGGTTATGTATTTCCCTTTAACATCTGAGTAAACCTCACACTTCGGCAAAGAAATATTCACCTGATACTTAATTGCAAATAACAGATCTAATAGTTGTAATTAATATGCGGACGGTATCCACTTTGCATGTAGAAGTAATGAAAAGAGCAAAAAGCAAAGTCGACACATCTATTAAAGTTGACTTAAGACATTGAAACCTCACAACAAATTTTGTTAACAAGATATTATAAAAATGTTATTTCCCCGCATTTCTATTATTAATCTCTCTAGGTGCAATTAATTTACCGTGATAAAAATTCAGCCATTTTTGGTAGACGGCAGGCAGGGTGTATAGTACCGGGTTCACGGCTGAGTTGAGGGGGATGACACAAATGGCCAGCCAGCCATGCGTGTCCGGACTAAACATGTGTCCACTGGCAGACATCAGGCCGACAACACACACCGGAAACCAGCAGAAAAAGTTGGACAACACGACCAATGACAAGTTTTTGGCCACTGTGATTTCACGTATGCGGTTTGTTGGGGAATTTATTTGTGAATCTGAAGACAAAGCGATAGACTTGAAGATGGCGATTTGGCCAGCGATGATGAAAATAAGCTGAAGAAAGTTGAAGACGATGAAAACAACGAAAGAATAAGTCCAACCTGTGCTGCGTTTCATGTTTACAGGAATACCTAAACACATGCCGTTGGAAGAGTAGATTTCCCACTCGGGGTACAGAACAGGTAAAATAGCCAGAACAAGACCGATAACCCAAACCGCGAAAACGGAGGCGACTAAACCAACAAGAGGAATCTTGCATGGACGCAAGGGGTTTTTAAAGATGAGATACCTGTCTAGAGTGATGAGCAGGACAAACATGGTGGACGTCTCACACGATAGTGTGAGCAGAAAACCTGCAGCGGTACACAGAGAACTTTCCCGCCATTGGCTCTCATAGATGACATAGTAGTCCCCGTGGTACACGTCACTTTCAAGAATAAGGACGGCGTAAACGCTCCTTAGGAAGTCAGAAACGCCTAAGTTTGTGACGTAAGCCTTGTCGCTTTGGCTTAACTCGGCTCTCTTGTATGAGAGGTTAACAACAACCAAAATAACATTGCCCACAAGACCAACCGTAACAATCATCCACAGCAATGACCGCTTTATGACGTCACCAATTAGGTGCTCGCAAGACGAGATGGCGTCACTCGGGGCAAAACAGTTATAAGCAGGGACACCTGACCCTGCGTACTTCGAACAACACAATTTAAAACTGTCTCCGTGGATAGCTTGTTGTATTTTTAGATGCTTCAAATATTTGGAATCTTCGTCATAAAAGTTTAACTTCGTCTGCCTTAGGTCTAAACGGGAGATGACCGTATTTTTTTGTAACCACTCTAAACTCCGCAGTCTAGTATGGCTTAAATTCAAATACTTGAACATTATCCTTTCGTTGACGTCAGCGTCTTCTATAAACATTCGTTGAACTTTAGTGTAAGATAAATCAAGATAGAAAGGGCTTACCAATAAGAACGCGGAAATAGACAACGATTTTATGTTTGTAAATGATAGATCCAAGCGTCGTAAATTAATGAAATTATCAATTCTTAATTGGTCAAAGGGGTTGAAGCTGAGGTCAAGGTTATAAATACTTTTTAAACTATCGCCTAGCTTATTTACCAGTGTGTTCAAAACACTAGTGTTTAAATTACAGTTAGATAAATCCAAAACTAAGAGCTGTTTAAAATAAAAATAACCATTTAAGTTCACATTGGCGAAATCGATCCCAGTCAAATTTAAAAACTTGAACTTCTGGTCAAGCGTGAACATCAGGATAGTCGAGTTGACCCGGGAGCGGTCCACTACCGACGACACACCCCAAGAGCACGTCAAACCTGTCGGGCATGTCCTATAGCAGTTCATCTCGTCGTCCCCCCGGGGACATTGCGGTACCCCGTCACAGACATTGGTCTGATCCAGCACGATGACAGAGCTCTGGCAGAAGTGAACGACCCGGTTCCTAGCCTTGTCACTGTTGACTTCGTCATCGCCGTGCGGACAATCCATCGTCCCGTCGTTGAGCAGGTACAGAGGTAGGCAGTATGACATGTGACATTTGTACAGACCTCTCGCGCACTCGAAAAGTTCACACCCCTGCAAGTTCGACATATCATCACACCCTAATGGTTTCTTACTGTACCTACCTTTCATATACACACACTTAGGAGCCCACAAATTCCAAAATTTACTTCCTCGAAGATCATTCAAAAACGATTTCTTTTCCTTCTTGCAAATCGTTTTAGCATCATTCATCTCTTCAATACAACTTCCACCAATACAATTTCGGCACTGTTTTAAGAGTCTTGCGACTTCATTCCTGAATGTTTTGTTATCTGGGACGCCCAGTGCAGTATGATAGTACACCCATTGCTGCGGCAAACACCCCCCGTCTTTGCACGGATATTCCAAGCACTCCTCACAACCCTTCTCGTCCATGTTACCCGGGCAGTCTGGAATCCCATCGCATCGAAATTCAGTTTTCACACGTTCGAAATTCTTCAAACCCCCGACTGGGTTGAAACAGAAGTGGTTGTTTCCATGGAAGCCGTTTTCTCTTTGATGACAGATGTTTTCGTCGCTTCCATCTAGGCAGTCGGCATACCCGTTGCAGACAAAAGTGTAGCAGACGGTAGCCGAGTAGGAGTTGCATGCGAATCTTTGTCGGCATGAAATTGACTTTTTAATCAGGCTGCTGTATAGCAACTCAGACAGAAGCAGTCTCTTTGACACGTCATACACCCCGTGAAAGTAAACGTTGTTGGCATCGAATTCACATATAGAAATCTGGCTCGCTTTTGAATTTGCGGGAACAATCTTGCATTGGACAGTCAAACGATCTCGTGATTCAAATGTTGAATTTTTCGCCAAAAAGAGTTCCAATGCGTAACAAGGGTCGTCATTACAAAAGTAATTTTCTACATTAAAAGAAGGATAGTCGAAGAACGTTGGTCTTTTATTTTCCCATTCCAATCGAAAGTTTCTTTCAGTGATTTTTCTGCACAGACCTGTGTGAACTAAAATTGAACAGTTTAATCGTAATTCCGCTTGGAGCTCTGAATCTAAGACGCGTTTCAAATATTCAAATTCTTCTTTCGTCTCAATGGCAACGAGTTCGGAATTCATTTGTTTACATGCCGCAGCAGCGGTTACGTGACTAATGGTGACTAATGGCTGACTCCGACACGATAATCTAGTAACATGACAGAAGGACGGGGTTGAGTTGACTTCTGTATGGGACCCAGCCTTCTTTACACTGTCCACACAACGCCATGGTCACCTTTTGATTGGCTGCCAGATCATCATTCGCCGTGATGTACACGATGTTTCGATACTCATACAGCGGCCAGTCCGCCACTTCTACGTTGGTTACCACAATGAAATACACATTGATTAAATAGATATTGTAGAATTTGTTGTAGCCGCCATCGTCAGAACTCAAGCTAAAAAATTCCCGACCATAAGAACTACCAGAAAAGACGATTATAATTTGACTTCCGTTTGTTGTAGGGTCCCTGTTTATTCTAAGGTAGCGGACTCCGTAGTCTAAATATTTTACGTCTTTGTAAAATACTATCTGTTTCTGGTGTTTTAGTTTAAATATTTGTGATATAAACTCTCTGGAACTGTTGTATTCTTGAAATCCGATAATTGGCGCGGTTTCCGTTGAAATGAAAAGGGCGATGCGTAGCCTGCGAATGTAATCGAGTTCACTGTCAGTAAATAACTGGACGACATTTGCAAGTCGGTTTTTGTGAACAGGGTCGATGCAATCTGTAAAGATTACGATATCGACAAAGCTGGAACGGCAGTCTTGTAGAGGTAGTCTCTCACAGCAGACGTGAGCATCTAAAGGATGATTGACAATTATTTTGGTTAACTGACGCCTTTTTTTCATTTTACAAGCATTTTTATACGCATTCAACATTAATCTATAATTCAGATATCGAATTTACTTTTTTTTAAATTACATATGTATTTTATATGTTGCGTGATTATTTTTACTGAAATGTTATTACTTTTGTTGTTTTTTTCTACGTATCTATTTTTACACTTATCCTACGTAAATCTTAGTACAGGTACGTTGCCTAACCTATATTTTTTTTACTGATATTTCATACACGTATGTTGGGTGCTTTTTTATTTACGTGTATCCTTTTTTGTCAAATGCCTTGATTAGGTAAAGTTTAAACTAAAAGTAAAGAATCCTCTTTAGACCTAGCGATCTATTGGGCACATTAAGTAGAGTTCATATGTTGCTTGACCTAGGCAAATGTAGGGAAGCTGTGGACATCTCTTTACTATCCCCAACCGGAGTTAGGTACCCATCAGAGCTGGGTGGACTCAATAACGCTCTATACCGACTTGGACCCGGATTCGAACTCGAGACTTACGGGTTAGACTGCTTACGGGTTTTTTTTTAGAACTAAGCGGACATCACCGGGCATGGCGACCCATTCCGGAACCCGGGGCGAACTATCAATGTCGCGTTCTCTCTCATTTGTATTAGTTATTTATGGTGGTGAAAAACAGCTTTTTGTGTCGGACATTTGAACTAGTAAGTAAAGCCAGCTAGGCAACAATCTATTTTCTTTACTTTGACTGTGCATAATTAAGCATAGCAGCTAGTAATGAGCATATAATTATTTTTTATGCTATTACGTTTGTCGCCCCTCTTAGATCAGAGCCACCCCCCCTTCCCACCCACGAATGCGGTGTTCCTCTTCATTTGTTTAGTTGTTTTCTAATGAATTAAGAGCATTTCAAATATCATGCTCTATTTTCCGCTGTACAGTTTATGAAAATTATAATTGTATAAATACATAGTTTTATAATTGAGTAGGGCACTTGAATGGACGTTTGCCCGAAGATCGTCTGGTCCAATAGACGTTAGCTTGAATGGGACAAACGTCCATTCGGTCTAATGACCTTAGAGCAAACGACCTTTGGACAAGTGTATTTCCAGCATTTTACCAAGACCTGTATTAGAAGTTATTATAATAATTATTATAAAAATAAAATTGAACACAACCCAAAGATATTAAATAGCCTACTTACTAGTGACGATTAGAAACCATAGCAGAAAATTTAAAAACGCCATTTTCTAGTCAAGTTGTCCTAAACATTAATCCGTCTACGTCTTCAACTTTGTAATTTAAAGGCAGAAGAAACAAAACAAAATCATTTTGTGTATGAGCTTATAATGAACTGCACATTAGCGATGTTTTCCTTTGGTTTAATAGATTGAAGATCCAAGAGGTGAAATATTTGTTGTCGGTTACTAAGTGCTTTCATGACGTCTAGAAACTATAGTAACAAATTGAAAGGATTTGCTTTAACATCAGCTATAAAACTAAAAGAAGATATAATAGATAAAATAAAACTTACAGCATTTATTTCTTAAAGGAATCTTATCAATAGCTATTGAATTTGAATGGTAAATGGGGTTTTAGAATGACTAATGTTTTGCGAATGTTGGTTTTCGTTGGCATTTATATAAATTAGTTTTCTAACCTCATTAAAATGATATTCAGATTCATATACCGTAGTAGAAAATAATTATGAAATTTACATCTGCCAATCCTTTGCCAACAGACAGGGAAGATAACTCCACTTAACTTACTGGATTGCCTATTTGTTTTCCTTATGCTATTATTTCTTTTAAATAATATTCGTTTTAATTCAAGCTTTTCGAGCTCAACAAAAGCCCAGACAGTCAAAACATTTTAATGTTGATGTTTTTATTATATATACCTTGAAGTAAAAAAAATGATTATTACCTCTGGTTGTACGCAGATGAAAAAGTTTATTTTTCGGCTGGCGTCCTGTTTTCTACTTTATGGTGCAATTGTGCTTCAACCTTTGCACATTAATGGCACATTATTGCAGCAGTTTTACGACATTATTACAGAAATATATGTAGGACTATTGTATTTTGGCTGCATATGAAGTACTATGTATGTAAAAATATGTGTGAAATATAGCTACAACTGTTTAATAAGTCACGAGTTGTCTCGCCATAAACGCACATGAAACACTTGATTGTTGTGGTGAAGGGAGAGTAAAGTGTGGGAAAACACGACCCCCCCTAACCAGTTTATTTGTACTGGTAGATCCTGAAATGCCATAGTATCCCAGTTTTCAGCCTGTCCGTCAAAAGTACATCCTGGCGAGACGTCGTTGTCAAGACCGTGCTAGAAGCGACGTTAGTATCTTGGATACCACAGCCCCTGTTTCTTACCAGCGCAGGTGGCAGAACTGACGAGAACCAGAAACTCTCTCTTGATGGGCAGATATATATTTGATTCACTTGACAACCAGATAATGATAGTCGTAGGACTAAGGTCTATAAAACATATGACGACAGACAAGTACAAACAATTAGT